AGTAAGCTAGTCGTAAATGGTTGGAGGAGGGGACGAAAACTTCGACGTTACAATCTTTCCCCTCTTGAACCTAGTGTTTTGGCCTTTTTCTTTGTGTTTCAAGAAGATTAGTAAGTAAAAAAAAACATCTTGTCTGTGTTCTCAGAACCCAGCACACAAACAGGGAGTAAAGCAGGAAATAGGAAACTGTGACTCAACAATGGCAACATTCCACCAGGTTCCATGAAAGTCAGTTTCTCTGGTGCCTGATGTTGTCTGAATCTTCACACAGCCTGGTTTCCTCTTTGAAAATGCAGACCAAAGCGGAATTTTGAGCACTGTGGATATTTTTAATTTCACTGAAATGGGGGTCGAAAGTGATTAATTACTTGGATAATGTTTAGAAATAAGAATAACTTACTCTGTAATGTGGTTATATGGTTCAGTTAAATCCTTTATGTGCATTTTCACTCAATGTATTAATAAATACAACTTTCTGTTTGAATACATATGCCAGCCTGATTTAATATAGTGAGGAGTTCACATGAATTTGAATCGCAGTTTTTTGTTTTTTTGCAAAGACTTGGAATACTGGAAACAATTTTTTCTGCATCTGTGGTGATTCAAGATTATGGTGATTGAGTGATACATTCACACATGGAAGCACTTTTTTAAACTGATGAATACTAAGTATCTTTAACACCTCTTCACTAGCTGAATAATATCTTTCTTGGTCTGTATATAAATATGGTATTATATATTTTAAATAGCAGTGTAGTTGTGGAAAAACAGTAACAAAATCAAAGTAGTCACTGGCTTCCACAGATAATTGATTTATGATATTTGTTTATTTGTCATGTTCTGTCACTTGTATGTCACTCTAGAAAAAATGTATGTAAATGTATTTTTAGCCCAAAACTGTTACAGCACAATTCTTAATGTTGAATTTGAAATGGTTTTAGTTCCCTCTTGTTTTGAAGTTGTATTTTATAAACCATTCCTGTCCCACAGGACTAAGAAGCTGATCGTGGATGTAGTGCGGATTCAACCAGGAGACACGCTGGTGGAAATGCTGGAGACCCCTGCCTCATCGCTTCAGGTGTGCGCTTTCTCCACGTGTGCCTTCTCATTCTTCCTGCATTGAACTTTCTCCATAAAACTGACAGAGTGCTAGTAAAACTTTTCTGCAACACATACTCACAGTGGCTCAGTAAAGTTTTGATGTATTAATAGTATTAATGAAAAATTGAAGGAGATGCTATTGGCTGTGTACTGGCAATACAATATAATACTTGCTCTGTTATTTTAAATCCGGACACAGAGGAAAACTCGTTTTTTTCCTGTTATTTGCTATTAAGCCTGTATGGTTTTCTTTAAGCACTGCCAAGTTTGGCTGGTTATTTGTTTTGTCGTAGGATATTTGCGATGGCAAATAAGATCCATTCTGACATAAGTCTGTCTATGACCAACAGGAGTCTGAGCATGCAAAGGTCATCGAGAAGCGTGCGGTTCAGGATGCCCAGGTGCCAGATGGGATGAAAAGCAGTCCATCTATGCTGGAAGATAGGCAGCTCCCTCTGGAGCAGAAGAAGAGGAAGATTTTGAGGAATTTGCGCTCTTTGGAGCAAGCTGGCCTTGTGTCTTCTGAGAACAAGTACCAGGAAATTATCAACGATATATCTAAGGTAATAAGCCTCATAAATATTGAGTAGAGGTGGTAAGTTCAGATCCAGAAAGTACAAATCCAGGCCAAGGTTTTGTTTCAACCCACCAGTTTAGCATAAAAAGAGCCACAGTCAGAGAGTACTCAGCTGGTGGGTTGAAAGAAAACCTTGGTCTGGATTTGTACTTTCTGGACCTGAACTTTCCACTTGTTCAAAATGAAGAAATTTGAGGATAGGTCTAGGCGTATGCACTTGAATTGCTTGCACAGTGCATGTATTTAAGGGCAGCATTTCCCATACGTGTGTATAAGTGACTTGGCTTGTTCCAGGAGCAGGCTGAGAGGTCATTCCTTGTTTCTGTATGACTGACAGGACATCCGGTTCCAAAGACGGTACAGGCAACGGAGGAAAACAGAGCTGGCAAAGCTCCAGCAGACTCTCAGTGCGCTAAACTCCAAGACTGCTTTTTACCAGGACCAGATCAACTACTACGACACTTACATTAAGACCTGCCTCGACAATTTGAACCGGAAGTAAGTTGCCGTCGGGACAATGTCTTTCTGTAACTTATTGATAAGCATATATTGTGGGTAGACATTTTTTTCATCTGAAGTACCACCTCACAATTAAGTTTAAAAATAGAATTTTGTTTTGAAAATTTGTGACTTGGTGTAACAGAAAAATAACAACAACAATAAACATTTTTGGGGAGAAAAGATTTTTCCAGCTGCTCGACCCTTGCGGTACTTGGACTAAGGCGCATTAATACAAAAAGATGACATATTAATATATAAAAATATATATATACCTGTATATGTCATTCCTGAGTTTTTTCTCTTAAATTCAAACAGTATGATTATGCCTATCTCAGAGAATATAAATGTGCCTTTTCAGGAATTCCAGGAGGTCCATCAAATTGGAGAGAAAAGCAGAGGAGAGAAGCAGCCGGAAGTCCAAACAGCAGTCGCTGAAATACACTGCAGCCAGACTGCATGAGAAGGGAGTCATCCTCGAGATTGAGGGACTGCAGACAAATCAGTGAGTGCTACCGCCGATGCGACAGGCCTGTGACGTGCTGTCTCTGACTTTTGATCCTGGAAGGAAGCTAAGCTCAATTAGAGGGAGTGGAAATGCCAGCTGTCCAGCTGCTGTGGTCTTATTGGATGCACAGTTCGCTTCCTGTTTTGTCCCTTTTGTGTTCCAGTCAAAGCAGTGAAAGAACACAAATGGTTGGGAGACTTCTTGTAATGCTTATGTGACCTGTTTGTAAAAAATGTATTCAGTGAGACCCAGGGCAGAAAAGAAAGCAGAGAATGTTTCTGTTTAGTTATGATAAATTTTCCTAGTTTAAAATATGGTTTCCCAACTGTCTATGTATGTATTAAACTGTATAAGCAAATCTCACTTAAATGTCTTTTTATGTGACCAGATATTACTGAGACAGTTTGCTTAGTGTGGTATACCACCGATGTCCCTTTGTGACTATTTTAAGCATAAACTGAGGGCATGACTTCTGTCCATAGTGCTGCTAACAGGGGGAAACTGCTGTATTTTGACTTTATGTGCTTTACGGAAGATTTTTTTTTTTTTTTGTAATATTGCTTTGTATCTTGCTTAATTTCGTTTGTTTGTTTATTTATGTATTTATTTATTTATTTTGCCAGGTTTAAAAATGTAATGTTTGACATCTCAGCTAGCGAAGAAGTAGGAGAATTTGAAATAAAAGCCAAGTTCATGGGAGTGGAAATGGAAAAGGTGCAGGTCCATATTCAGGTAAAGCAGACACACAAAAAGACTGACACCTCTTAAAGCAGAAAACTCCACTGTGTAGACTGTGAAGACCAGGGCTGTGTCAAAATCCGTGGCCACCTCTATTGCCACCCCACATCAAAATAATAAAAATGAAATCTGCATTGTTTTATTTTCTAAGTGGAACCATAGAATAGATAAGGTGTGCGGTGACCAACCCCAAAAACATACCTGGCCTCTGGTGACCACCCCAGTTAAAATTTTCTGCTGAGGCCACTGATGAACATCTGAACACAACAAAATTATCAGTATTCGCAATAGAAAATTGTAACAATAACAAGACATCCATTTCCCCATTTAATATGAATGACTTTATTTATGATGCATAAAATGATTCTGATAACATAACTGGTAATGCTCGTCGTTGATTGGTGACAGGATGTTTCATTCCTCCCTATCTCAGGACCTTCTGCAGCTGCAGTACGAGGGGGTGGCTGTCATGAAAATGTTTGACAAGGCCAAAGTGAATGTCAACCTGCTCATTTTCCTGCTCAACAAGAAGTTCTATGGAAAATGATGCATTTTATCGGACACGGAGCACAATTCCTATTCCATCCTGGATTTTTAGGGCCCCCATTTTGGCTGTTGGGTGCTTCAGTTTCCAAATGCTGGCAAACTGAATAGAGTGTTTAAAATGGACAGTGCCTTAAGTTGATTTCAGGAAGAGAAACCTACTTTTCAGAATTAAGACTATTGTAGTTATTTTTAATGAACCCAGAATGTTGTGTGTTTGATCAATGTGAACTGTAGTTTGGACATTAGAATGAAAATCTAAATTTTAATACATAAAAATTGTATACCATTACATTGTCTGAGTAAGTGCTTTGATTATAAATGTTACAATTTCTGATTTATCACAGGGTGATTGTATATTAAATATTTTGAAATTATACAAATGTTTTATATTTAGACGCTATGTTACCAAATGCTTTGTTACCACTTCTGTTAAAGAAAGGAATTGTAAAATGCACTACTGCCTCATTATACTGGAAGTGATACAATATAACATTACTTTGGGACAGTTCAGGCTGTTGGGTAATGTATACTGCTGACTCGTGCCTTTTAACATTTAACCTTTGAGCACTGGGAAGCTTTGCTTTGCTTCTTTTTAAAAAATAGTTGGTATTTCCATGTTGTGTTTTTGTTTTACAAATATGCAGTGAGATTGTAATTTAAAATAATTTCAAAGTTTAAAACTGGATTAATAAATATGGAACATTATTGTATTTGCTTGCTTGCTTTCTGTTTTTAGGTCCCAGCCCTCAGTAGAAAATTAGTCAAGTGAGATAATTATCTTCACTGAGTGTCAGGTCGCCCGCTTTCCTGTTTGGATTAAGGCCATGCTTCGTGTTATTCAGGTTTACTTTCTGAACAATTGTTTTTAACTGCCTTGAAGCAGACCTTAAATATCTGGTATTTGTCATGTTACACATATGACACTTAAGGCCATAAAAATGAATACGAATAAATTCATGTTACGTTGTTTTATTAAATCTCCCAAAAAATCCTACGCTAAAAAACAATGTGCTACGTGGGAGTCAAAAAAGTGTGCATGACGTCAGTGAATGACCAGGCAGAGACTCCCCGGACCATCCCTGGCGTCCGGGAGATGCTGGGGGCTGCGGCTCGGGGGCGCGGAGACGCCAGCGCTGTCTGCCAATGGGACGCCGATTCACATTCAACTTCGCTTTTTCTTTACTTCTTTTATTTTAACAATATTACTTTATAAATCGAGCAAACACTTAAAGAATTTATAGAACGCAGTGCAGTTTTGCACCTTCGATTAAGATGCATTTCAAAGCAGCTGTCGTTTTTACTCTATTTACGTTGTGCAGCAGCTCAAACACATCGAATCACTTCAATGGTAAGTATTTTTAGTTAATTTCGCAGGAATTACCGGGAATTACTGTAGCTAAACATTACTTTGTAAATGGATATCTCTTCATTAAAAAGGGAATAAATGCTCTTTCACGCTTTTAGTGTTTTGATTTGTGGCGAAGATGAACTTGCCGTTTAGAACAATTGTAGTCGGCAAAGGAAACTAAATTCGTTATTAGGCTACTGATATGAAAACAGTCTGCGCGGCTTTTTTGGCATTCTTAGGCACGGCGGTTACTAGTCTAAGGCTTAATGCGAGATGGCTGCACAGAAATGCCAATTTACTGAATTTAACATCATCGTGGCGTAACATACCTTTGTAACGGTTTTGTAGAAATAGGCTCCATATATATATATATATATATAGTCACACACACCATCTTTCCACCCAAATATATATGCACCACCAGTTATTAATTTGGCTTCCCCCAAAAACAGACCATTACATTAGTTGTGTCGCTACTGCCTTGTATTGACTGTTTAGGAATTTATACTCTAATTATGGTATAATTAAATAAAACAAATTCTATCCTGAATTTCAATTTTTACGATAAATTTTACTCCTGTGATTTCAGGTAAGATCGGCAGAGCTTTTCCTGGCTTCTTGAAAGCTCTGGATGAGCCCATTGATTACCTGGATGTGCAAGAAGAAAGCGGATCTGGGTTCAGCTCTGATCACCCAAAAGAACATAAACCTGCAGTTGTGAAGAAGGGCTACCATGTCACCCAAAAAGTAGCAGAGTTCCTCACCGGACCTGTGATGACTGTCTTCATCCCCTGGGTGTACATCCTTGTCTTCGTCGTCAGTATTCCCCTGAACCTGCTTGCCGTCTTCATGTTTGCATGCAGGGTACAGTCCAAGAAGCCAGCAGTGATCTTCATGCTGAACCTGGCAGTGGCTGACCTGCTGTTTGTGCTGCTGCTTCCCTTCAAGATGTCCTACCATTTCAATGGCAACAACTGGACTTACGGGCAAACCACGTGCAGCCTCATCACGGCCGCTTTCTATTGTAATATGTACTGCTCCATCCTGCTGATGATGTGCATTAGCGTAGACCGCTTCTTGGCGGTAGTGTACCCCATCGAATCTCTGGCCTGGCGCAGTCGACAGAATGCGATGGTGGTCTGCGGCGTTATGTGGTTATTGGCAATAGCTGGCGTGGTGCCCATTCTGCTGTCCAAGCAGACCACCCACCTCGAAGAGCTGGGCATCACCACCTGCCATGATGTGATGGATATCCAACAACTGCGGGGCTACTATCTCTACTTCTTCCCCATATTCTGCTCGATCTTCTTTTTTGTACCTCTTGCCTTCACTGTAGTCTGTTACGCGCGCATCATTCAGGCTCTTCACGCTACCAGCGACTCTGCCTCTATGCCCAAAAAGCGTCGGGCAGTGTTTATGGCAGCCGCCGTGTTAGTGGTCTTTGTGGTCTGCTTCACGCCCACAAATATCATCTTGATGGTGCACTATGTGCAGCTGGCCCGAAGCAGCCACAGCTCCTATGCAGCCTACCTCCTGGCCACATGCATCGGCAGCGTCAGTTGCTGCCTGGACCCTTTAATCTACTACTTCGGGTCATCGCAGTGCCGGAAACAAGTAGCCGCCATCCTGCCCCGCTCAGCCTTGAAGGAGTCAGACAAGGAGCTTCATGCCAGCAGCACCAGGTCCAGCAAGATGGCGACCTTCTGGCACAGTGAAGAAAAGCAGTACAAGAAGCTGGAAGCCTGATTGTGCCATCAGATGGACTTCTACTGTTTATGACGCTATGAGAAAAAATGACTGTGTTAAAAGCACTTTTTCATCAAATTAATGCTACACTTTATAGGTATTAAAAGTGTTAAGATCACAGGTCATAATCCAGTCTGAGTATACAAATAACACTCAGTTCCAAATATTAAAAATATTATGTGCAACAACATGTAGGTATTGTTTTAATAGAAAATGTTTTTTTAGTTAATAATATTTTGTTTTTTATATTAATTACCTTTGATATTATATGAAATATATGTTCTGGTTTGGATTGTGTGGCAGTACCATCTGCCAAAAGTCAACTGTCACATTTCTTATAAATTGTCATTGATGTCACTTTCATGTGGTTAGGATTTCCTTCATGCACCTAGTTACTGTATAACTGGTTACTAAGGGAAGGACATTTTTAACCTATCATAACAATGCAAGGACCTTCAAGGACCTTTGGTGTTAAATATATGTTCATTATTCTGGCAGTATATCTCCTGCAGTTTGAATGTTTATACTACAGTATTTTTATAATACGTATTCATAGTATTATGTGCCTGTGTTTAACGTGTAGTAGCCCTTGTCTTGGTGTTATACTGGAACACAAACAGTATTCATTGAAAAATGTACTATGTTTGTGCCTCTGTGTTCTTATATGATTAAGCCGTAATGTAATGTGACGTACAGTCTGTTACTCATTTATAAATTACAGGATTTATTTCACTAAATGGTTTTGCATTTTAACTTCATTTACTTCTCGGTGTGGTAACCATTTTCACTTTCACTGTTTTAACAGTTATCTCTAAGAAACGAAAATAGATGCCGTATGTGTATTCTCAAATCGATCAAGTGGAATGGATTCTTTCGCGAAGCAATAGAAACAGCGCTGGGTGAACTAATATTGTATGTTAAATGTTGGGGGGGGAGGGGTCCAAACGAATAATTATGAAATGTGAGGGGGACATGTTTAATGGCGGCGACGCTCATGATACTGTATAAGCACGACACTGAACTTTTCCTGTCTGCAGTCTTCCATACGTAATCGTTTACATAAACAACACTTCGGCCAAAACCTGAATCCCCACTTCTCCCTGAGTAAAATGTGGTAAATGTAATTCGTTTAATAATGGACTGTCAAAAGAGCCCGTGTTATTGGTGATGATTATTTATTCCAAACAATGAAAAAAAAACATTAATCAGAAGTAGCCATACCTCACCTATAACGTCACCGCACATATTCGGATCCCCTTTTAATTGGTTGAATCTACCAAACGTGGTGATAATTTATGCAGGTGTGGGCGTGTCGATACTCAGGTAGCTCTGTCTTTGCCTTATATGGTGAAGGTGGGATCGGTCACTGGGACGACACTGGCGTAGAGGAAACCAGGGAAGTAACTCACCTTTACCACTCATCAAGCAGTGCATCTGTATCGCCGGGCTACCGTTTGGTAAAGGCTTCTCACTCCGCTCGCCATGGTCTTCACTGGGCTACTGAAACTGGTCGTTTTTCTGTCTTTGGCGGCAGGAACGGCGGCCCAGATAGGTAAGACGAGACACATGGTTTGCGGAAGGACAGGTACTGGGTCTCTATGTCGGGCCGTGTTTGGAAAAGGGCATCTTATCCTCGCCTTAAGGAATGATAAATGCGTGCTATTACTAATATAGTTAATAACGTAGTTGCTTTTGTAGAGTTGTTTTTGTGTGCGCTACCTGCATACGACGGCCAGGTTGCGGAACCCTACGCGGAATGCGTGAGCGGGATTAGTATGCTTAAATACATGTTAAGTTTGATGTACTAATGCATTAAAACAAGTATATTTATTTAAATTGTGCCTATCTTCGAAGTGTTTATGCTTATGTGTGATAATCTCCATACAGGTTTGGCCAGTAAAGACAAAGCTCGGGGGGTTGTTGGACGTGAACAGAAAGGAATTATCACAGTGGATCCCTCAACAGCTGACATACTCAAAAGCAAGTTGACTACGGTCATCTTCCCAATAATTTACATCATTGTTTTTGCTGTTGGATTGCCCACAAACATGATGGCCCTTTGGGTATTTATCTTCCGAACAAAGAAGAAGCACCCCGCAGCTATTTATATGGCTAACCTGGCACTTTCGGACATCCTGTTTGTTGTTTGTATCCCATTGAAGATTGCATACCATTTTAAGGAGAACAACTGGACCTATGGAGAGGGACTCTGTAAGGTGTTGGTAGGCTTTTTCTATGGAAATATGTACTGTTCCATTCTTTTCATCACTTGCCTTAGTGTGCAGCGCTACTGGGTAATAGCCCACCCTTTATCTGAGCAGAGAAAAAACAATCAGATAGCCACAGGGGTTTGTATAGCCATATGGATCTTTATCTGGTTGAGTACAACACCACTGTACATGTACAAGCAGACGGCCCACATCAATAACCTGAATATCACTACCTGCCATGACGTTAACATTATCCACAATATTGAGGACCCATTTCCTGATGTTAAGCATGCATTCATTTACTTCATGTTTATGGGGGGCTTCGTGTTCCTCGTTCCAACCTTGATAAGCATAGTAGCATACGCCTGTCTCCTTAAAACCCTAGCAGGTTCCATGGGCGATAATTCTGTGGGAAAAAGCCGGAACAAAGCGGTGGTGTTGATTATTACCGTCCTTGTGACCTTCCTGATATGCTTCATCCCGAGTAACATCATGCTCCTCATCCACTACTACCTCCTGAAGGATGGCAACCTCAACAATGCGTATGGCTTCTATATCACCACACTTTGCCTGTCCAGCCTTAACAGTTGCCTGGATCCCTTCATTTATTACTTCGTTTCTGAGGACTTCCGGGACAATGTCAGGAACACGCTACTCTGCAGGAGCAATCGAACAGTGGACAGGATGAAAGTCTCCTTCAACTCCCTGAAGTATTCAAAGAAGACCAACACTTATACCTCTGACAACAGTAACACCCAGACAAGTAATTGCTAATCATTTGGGGATGGAGATAAACTTGATGACAGTATGTATACTACTTATCTAATGTAAAGTGTGTACTATGTTTGTACAGCGTGTGCAGCTCCGTGTAAAAGCAATCATTTATTTTTGAAGGGCAAATATTTTGCCTATTTTTATTTTTTAAACTGTGAAACTGGTGTGATACTTTGCTTTTTTGATACATTTTTATTCCTTAGTTTTTAAGTGTATAATGTCATTTCAATGAGAATTTTACTTTTTTTTTTTTTAGTAATTTTAAACTTGACATCTAAATCTGCGCTAGTGATATGTAAATATTTGATATGCTGTACAGTATGTATTCTTTTTAACAATGCAAGTCAATCCTTTGACAATATATTAAGTAAAAATGGATTTAAATATTGTATACCCAACTATGCATTAATTATAAGCAATAAGCAAATATAAGCAATAATTTCTGTTGATGTAAGTTTTCAGTAGTTAAATTCTGTCCTGAACATCATCGTTTTTTTCTCCTCCATCACTTCTGTGTTACTGCCGTAACACTACAATAGGACCATTATCTAATTATGTAGATACACAAAAGCCACGGAGAATTTTGTCTACACTTTATGCCAGAAAATGCTCTTTTGGTATTTAGTACACACGTTTCATGTCCAAAGAATTATATTTATACATGCACTATATAGCCGAAACTGTACACACCAGCTTGCCCGACATCTCTCAGAAACTGAGGGTGTTAATATGAAGGTTGTTGGTACAGTGGCCTCTAATCTTTATGAAAGCTTTCCATTAGATGTAGGAACATTGCTGGTGGGATTTGCTGCCATTTGGGCTGGATATTGCTGCTGCGATCAAGTCCTTTGCTGTGAGTTTGTGTGGCCAAACGCTTAACTGAACCTGTTGTCGGGCTTTTCTGCTTCACAGTCATTTTACTTTTGGTTGACCCAGAGTGCGTTTTCCAAAAGCATAGTTGCTGACTACTTTAATTACCTTGACTACCTTACCTAACTTCCATAGTTGGAACCATCCAATGGATCCTGCTATATAAGCTGGTAATGGGAGTGTTTGGGAAACATGACCCAGGACAGCTCCAGCAAGGGAGAAATATGAAAAAGTGACTTGTTGGAAAGATGGTGTCCTAAGATGGTGCCTGATTGAAAGTCACTAACCTATTCTGTACAACTACCCATTCTGCTGCTAATGTTTGATGGAGTGTATTGCATGACTGTGTTCTTAATAATGCACCTTTGTCAGCAATGGGTGTGGATTAATTTGACAATTCTTCCAATTAATAGGAGTGTCCAGATACATTTAGCTATATAATATGTTTTACTTAATTCTTGAGCATGTTTTAATCTTTTATTCATTCTATTATTTAAAATAACGTGTCCCTTTCCAGCAGATGTCCATAATTATACTGACCACTGCTCATCATAAGTTTGTAAAATAAAAACTAATCATCAGTCGCTTGTTCACTCTTCACTGTGTTTGTGGATGAGTAACACGAACGGCCGGGAAGATCCAGAACATTTCCTGGGAGAAACAGTGCAATTGGCATGTCGTCCGTTGCAGCTTACGGGTTTGTGCAAACATTGTTGACAATTTATAGTCACCGGGTTACAGCCAAACAGCATTTTTGGACTTGAAGTCAATGCAAACAGAGTGGGGGCCTGGGCTTGTCATTCCGGAAACTCATTGCGCAACCTGATTGTAAATCCCTTTTTTCCAGTAAACATGGCCACATTTATTCTTACATCTTCATTATTTTCACATATCCATTATTTTGTATTACTTTCTTTGTGTGTGTTTTACATTATTAGTATTTCCTAGTTGTCAAATTGTAGGAGTTTGTGTCTGTGTGTGTGTCTATGTGTGTTTGTGTGTTGTGTATGCCCTGCGATGTATTGGTGCCCAGTCCTGGGTTATTCCCTGCTAGTAACTTGATCCCCGTGGCCCTGCATAGTTCAAGCAGGTATATAAAATGGATGGATGGATAGTTTTTCATTATTGCACTAATCGTAATTCAAGTTCACAGTAAAATATAATTGGCACAAATACAAAAAAATATATAAAAATAACTGTAAATATATCAATATGCTGCAGGACTGTGGCAGTTTAGTGTGCTGCACATGAGGATTGGGGTCAGTGCTACCCGGTACACTATACTGTCTGAATTAAAAATGGAATGGCACTCTTTATGAAGGACAAAAGCCCAACCAGTGTAAACCAGATCATTGGCCTTGGAAGCCTCTGCATGTAGTCCTGAGGGCATAACTGAGCACCATTCTTGGGACCACAAACATTTTTAAAGTGTATAGAGTTAAACTCAAAGCTTGGTGGTGTACATACTTTCTAAGCAGGTATCTCCAGGATAATTAATGTGTTCTGATAATGAATATACATTTAATTTGGAGTGTGGGAAAAAATGGAAAAAAATTCTGAGAACAGTGAAATTCTGTAGCAGTCTGGGTAACAAGCATAACTGGTCCGACTGGTTCTGTCGTCATGAGAAGCAAACAATGTGCTTGTTCAATGACGCTGATAAAATAAAGAGCGGAACAAAACCAGAATTAGTCAATCACGCTGATAAGTAACTAATCAATACATCTAAAACATTTAAAATTTAAAACAGTTTTTTTCAGGATAAAGTGCTGTAGCGGATAGTCAGTGTGTAGTCAGCCCATCCACAATTTCACTCTCCTTTTCTGGAAGTGCTTTATCTCCTATGAAGAAACAAGACACCTGCTGGTGTGATGTCGTATTTTGCTTGTACGCTACTTGTCTACCTTTATTAAACAAGGCATGTTTGTTCACATTTAGTCCTTCTGCCAGAACAATACTCGACCTTTCAGAGAGCATTGAGTCAATTTATACAGTGCCGGAGACCAGCCTCAATTATAGTTGGACATTTTGTTTTCTGCCTCAGAACCGTATTTCCCCATGTTACAGTTTTTTCCAATCATTTTCACACTTGTCTCAATACCATGTCCACTTTTTCAAAACACTTAACACAGTGGGCTGTACCAATACACAACTGAGCACACCACTTACTGTAACCTTTGGTGCAAAATGCCCTACAACCACCAAAACGTTTCACAATTCACCCAAAAGTGACTCATGCTGCCATAACCATGACAAATGCTGTCAGCCAACAACACTACT